ACCTGTCGAGTCCCTTGACTAGAGATAACACAGGGCACCTTTAGTAAACTCTGTCAGGCAAGTAAGACATAGAAGTAAGATTATCTGAGAAGATTGACTTAAGTTTCCTAAGTGACCCCTATCATTCATTCCCATAGTAGCTTGTTGTGTGAGGATTATCAAGTCATTTTATTCAAATCCAGTGTTTACATTTGGTTTTTCCTTTACATTTTCATTTGATTTCACTACACACAATTTATTTTTGCCACGACATATCCATTTACTGCCACATCACACTATCATTCCATCCTCACCTATATACATTCCACATTACCTCAGCATTCTCATTAATATATACCATCACACTAACTATACTTAGATAAAGTGGTTCTTTGCTTTGGTTGAACTTATAAATTTCCTCCAATCCCTGTGGAGATGATACTCACTCATCACTTTATTACTTGTTCGATTGTGTATACTTGCACATGCTTCACATCCATATTTAGTACTCACATAACGCGGACACCGGTTGTCTGGAGCGACAACACAAATGCTGTAACTCTTAGTGCAAATCATGTCCTTCATGCTCGGTCCAAACATTTTGAGCTTGATCTTCATTTCATTCGTGATAAGGTTGCTGATGCAGTCTATGTGTTAACTATGTACCAGCTCTTCACCAAACAGTTGATGGGTTTACTAAACCATTGTCAAAAATGTATTTCTCTAGGTTCCGTGATCATATAAATGTTGTCGATAGTGAAAAACTGGGAAAGGGTATAGAGAATGTTAGCTTATAAAGAAAGTAAGTCAGCTGAAGGTTTACAACTGTAGGGTTGTTAGGCAATTTGTTACGTGTAACTGCATGCGGTTATAGGGTTGTGAGGTGTATAAATGCTCCTAAAAAAGAATATGGACCAAAATGACTATGGTATATATTGGTTTCAATTAAAACAACTTTCTCCAATCATATATATTTATTCATATATTTTCACGTGTGTAAGTAATATTTATAATGTTATTTAATAAATCAAATAACATATAAAATTATAAAATATATTTAAAAGGTATTTTTAAAATAAGATATTTTAGGGAATAAATATTGATGAATTGATGGGATGAAAAAAATACAAAAAAGTGAATCAAAGGAACAAATTGAATAAAATAAGAATAAATTCTAACAAGCATAAATTTAATGTTAATAATAGGAATTGAAGTTAGATAAGTATTTTATAGTCTTAGTGGGGTATGTGGTTTAATTTGGTTAAAATGGACTTAAAACGAAGGATTAATTGGAGAAAATAGAAAATCATGCAAAATTGAGGGTTTAAATTGAAAAAAATAGGAAAATAGTTTTCAAAAAAGTGGAATTGAAGCTACATAGATATTCTACAATGATTTAGGAGAAATTGAAGGAGAAATTGAAGAAATAAGAAAATCAATGACTAAATTGTAAAGCATTCAAATTCTATTTTTCGAATTAGTAAATTTGAACTCAACTCAAACTTAAAAATTGAAATTAAAATTCGAGTTGAATTAAATAACTCAACTCAAATAGCTCAAAATTAAAAAAAAATTAAGTCGAGTTTTACTTACTCTAACCTGTTGAGCACTGGGTTTGTTGTGCTAACCCTGACGGATATGAGTGCAAACACTTATCTTCATTCAACAGTTAAATGTTTCCCTCAGTTTCAGTTTGATTCATTCTAATCTCAATCCATATTTTTCCAGTATTAACATCAATAAGATGATGATTGTCGTCATCTTTTGAGATGAATTGTTTCTAACTAAAATTTTGATCAAATTTTATAAAATTAACGTGTGAGTTAATTGAAAATCTGTTGCATGGATTATTATATTAATGACAAGTTCCTCTTAATTTTTTAAAAAAATATATTAAAATTTTATAATAAAAAATCACTAACAGTAAAAAAATTAATTTTTTTAAAACTTGTCCTGATGAGTTTCAATAAATTAAATTAAAAAAAATAAAACCCTTGAAACTTGTAGTATTGAACGACATTTTTAATAAAATAATATTCTTCATAAATATCGTGCGGACCTAACGAATTTTATCTACATTGTAACCGGTCTAGATCCCTTAATAATCTCCAATGTCATGTATTTTCCTAAATGTTTTTAGCGGGAACATTATTTCCCTAAAAATGCCAAACTTTTTCGTCCTGTTACAAAAAAAAAATACAAAATATAAAATTTAAATTTAATTCATATTTCAGTAACCACTCATGAGCTAATGGATAAGGCGCTTGACATCTAATCAAGCGATTGTGGGTTAGAGTCCCACTTGGTGTGCTTAGAGAATATATATATATATATATATATATATATATATATATATATGTCAAATATATCCAAAGTTCTCAAAGGAGTTAATAAACCAATAGGTTCATGTTTCATATACGTATATATTGTTTTAAATTCATTGTTCACTACTGTAAATTTATTTGAAAATCATATACATTATCTCGTCCCTTTCATTTTATGTGTGCACTTTAAGTGCTACTAATACATACTTAGTTGTAACACGTACTTGTAAAATCATAGCTTTTTACATACCATTTCATAAATCATATAAGGTGCATTAAAACAATGATCAAACCATATCCATCTTGTTGAAAATTCACTTGGAACATATATATAACTCGTAAACATATGCACTAAAAATTAAATTAAGGTAAGGAGAAAGAATGACTTATTAGGGAGCTTAGAACAAGGGTTTAGCCGACTCCTAAATCCCTAAATAACACTATAAATTGTGTAAACATGCAACAAACTTATATACTCACCGAATCAACTTTCGTTCAATGCTAGAAGCTTAACTAGTTTTCTCTTTTTCTTTGACTTGCTTGCAGAAGCCATTAATGGATCCAATACTAAAAAACTACACGATAAATCACATAAAAACATCAACATTGACTAGAAATCAACTCAAACATTATTTGTTCTTGAAAAGAGTTCATCTTCGCTCTATTATTGTACATATTTTAATTTTTATTATATTATGATATATATTAGTTTCAATTAGGGGCGGAGCCAAGATTAGATATAGACAGGACCGAAATATTAAACTTTTTAAGAAAAATATAATGACTTATTATGTATTTAAACTCACAATTCATAAAACAATTTATAATTTTCTAATAATTAAATTTATAATGACGTAAATTGTTATTAGAATAAAAAATTGAGAACATTGGATTATCATATTCCCTTTTTTTTGTATAACTACCGATTTCCAATCTATTGGTCTACTAATTCGGATCGGGTACTGCAGAGGTGAGGGCGACCCTCCCAACTCAGTTTGCTCCATTTGCAATCGCGCAGATTCGAACTCCTGGCCTTGCTTAAGGGATATAGTGCCTCATCCCACTAAACCAACCAGTTGTTGGTATTGGATTATCATTCTTTAGTTCGCCCACCACTTGATTAAATATAATAAATTCTTATATTTCTTAATTTAAATACTTATTTTTCATTAACTAAAATACTATTAGATCAAAATTTATCGAATATAAAATAATTTTAAAGGGGTCGGGGTCCCTTTGGGACCTAAGGGAGCTCTGCCCTTGGTTTCATCTGAAATGAATTTCTCTAATCACATAAGATATATACACGTATATTTTTCCATATTGTTTTTCACATGTGTAACTAAGATTTACAATATTTTTATTAAATAACATCTAAAATTATAAAATATATGTAAATTTATTTTTAAATAAGATATTTTTTAGGATAAATTATTGACGAGAGTATAAAGATGTCAAATGAATTCCTGGGATGAAAAAATAAAAAAAAAGTCAACAAATGATTGAACTTAATAAAATAGGACTAAATTATAAAAAAGAAAGAATTTAATATTAATAATATAAATTGAAGTTACATAAGTATTGTATAGTGTTTTGGAGCATGTGGTCTAAATTTGGGAGTGTATGATTTAAATTTGATTAAAATTGACTTAAAATAAATGATGAATTGAATAAATAAGGAAATCAATGACTAAATTGTAAAATAGTCAAATTTGATTTTTTTGAATTAATAAATATGGACTTGGTTCAAACTCGAAAACTAAAATTAAAATTCAAATTGATTCGAATAACTCAAAATTAAAAAAAAATGAATAGATCAAGTTGGGCTACTCCTAACCATTATTGGGCTTGGTGGGGTAATCTCGACGAATATGAGTGTAAACACTTATCTTAGTACAACGTTAGATGTTGCCCTACGTTTAAGTTTGATCCATTCTAATCTCAGTCCCTATTTTTCTATATTGTCACCAATAAGATGATGATGCATGTGTCATCATCTTATCAGATGAATCATTTTTAGTTAAAATTATGATCAAATTGATAGAATATGCATGTAATAATGACTAAATTTATTATTATCCTAATTATAAAAAAAGACATGCCATCAATTTCGTTAATGATCTAATTGAAACCAAATCGAATGTTTAGTGATATAATTGACAAATCTTTTAGTTCACATAGTTCAGTGACCTGAAAGGTAGTTTACCCAAAACTATACGAGTCACATTTGCTTGAAATGATGATGATGGTGATACATTGGAGTTGTTGAAAGTGAATGGATCCATTTCCAATGCTTAAAAAAGGCATATGCTCTTTTAAAATGCTCACTTGAGTTGAGACTAACGTGAAACAAAGCATAAAACAGATTGAAGCGATCCTTCAATGGTATTAATTTATTCATCAAACATTTAGTTTTACATCATCTTCCTTGATATCCACCAGCATAAACCCAAAACTGTCCGCACTTTGCCGTTCTATTTTTAACCCGATTTCGAGTTTTTCTGTCTCTTTTTGTCTCACCCGTTATCTTTTTCACACTTATAAGCATCCCCTCTTCTTATTCTTCTTCCTTCTATGCGTTATTGGTCGCAGCTTTTCGCTCAAATCTGCCTTTGTCTATGTATTGTCTAATATCTGCCTTTGTTTTATGTTCCCTTAAATCTTTGTTTAGTGCTTAACCTGTTAGTTATCCGGAAGATGGGACGTAAGATGGTGATGGACTCGTGGTTTAGTGGTTCAGAGAGTAATGGTAAGGTGCTTGGAATCTTGGCATTTGAAGTCGCCGGTTTGATGTCGAAGGTGGTGAATTTGTGGCATTTTTTGGACGATGGAGAGATGTTGAAGTTGAGGAAACAGATCACGAACTCGATCGGAATTCGAAGACTCGTATCCGACAATGAAAATTACCTTATGGATCTTGCACTGAATGAGATAATCAACAATTTCGGAACCCTGGCAACATCCGTGGCCAGGCTTGGGAAGAAATGCACTGACCCCGTGTATCACTCTTTCGAAAACTTGATAAAAGACCCGATTTCGAACAATTCGTATTGGCTTGGGTGGGAATATCGGTTGAAGAAGATGGAGAGGAAAGTGAAGAAGATGGAGAGATTCGTGGCGGTTACGATGCAGTTGACTCGAGAGTTGGAAGTGCTGGCGGAACAGGAGCGAACTCTAAGAAGGATGCGGAGAAATGCCGGGTGGGATCGAGTGAAGTTGTTCGAGTTTGAAAAGAAAATAATGTTGCAGCGCCAGGAAGTAAAAAATCTACGGAAGATGTCTCCGTGGGTTCGAACAAATGACTATGTTGTTCGAATTCTGTTGAGATCACTTTTAACAATGCTCGAGAGGATAAAATATGTCTTCCGCAACAACCAAATGGTACTTATAGGTGGGAACAAAGATTTTGAATCTATTAGTAGTCTCTGTTTTTCGCCCAGCGATTCGTTTTCCGCTCGACCACGATGTTCAGCATATCCTTCGGATAATAATAAGTCCGAACAGATCAGTGGCAAGCAACTAATCTCTCGTTATCAGTTGATTGCGTTACATGGCAAGATGCCATATTCGAAAACGATACGGTCCAGTCGTGTCGGAGTTGGACCTTTTAAAAAATGCATGTCAGTCGGAAGTAATTCTCCTATTGTAGACAGCTGCACGCGGATTGGCACTGGACCTTTCAGGTTCATTGGTGCTTACACCGGAAAGATCGACAAGTTAAACAAATTAAAGATGGAGTCAGTGTTCGGCAATGATAAAATTTATTCTAAATTATCCGTTTTCGATACCAAGTGCTTGTTGGATGCTCCTATGTCGACACTCGGTGATGCTGCATTAGCTCTCCGCTATGCACACATTATTGTCTTGATTGAGAAACTGGCTTCAGCACCTCACATGATAGGCCTCGATGCGAGAGACGACCTGTACAATATGTTACCTTCGACTTTGAGAACTGCTCTGCTTGCTAAACTGAAGTCGAATGCAAAGACTTTGGCATCATTAATCTCTAGTGCTTCCGTTTCTGCAGAACGGAGTCTGGTACTAGTTTGGATATTGGGATGGTTGGCTCCTCTTGCTCACAACATGATTAGGTGGCACTCCGAACGCAGTTTTAAGGAACAGCATATGGTTTCCCGGTCTAATGTACTTTTAGTACAGACACTCCACTTTGCAAATCGAGCTAAAACCGAAGCCGCTATTACTGAGCTTCTTGTTGGTCTTAATTATGTCTGTAGGGTCAATAGAGCACACAATAATATAGCTTTTTGAGACTCTGCCGGCACTGGCTGTACGCAATTTTTTATATCAGTTTGCTTTAGCCTCATAAGAGAATTAGCATTACTCAAGCATTACATGATCAATATGATAAGTGTATTCATGACTAGCATATTAGTTTTGTCTAATGCCATGGTCATGGATACATGACTCGTTTCTTCGGTATTACTTCCAATGGTATGAGCTTTCTAACTGTAATCCCGACCCTTTTCGTTCATATCGATAGCTTCGGGGCACATGTTGTTCCCAAGCTCCAAGTCAAAGTAATGTAGCAAGCTAGCCAAGCAAGATGAACTACTTTGTGAGCTAATGAGATGCCTACACAAATTCTTCTCCCTGAACCAAAAGGGATCAACTCGAAATCTGTGTCCCCTTGGGTATCAAATACCCCAAATAGTTGGTCTCTCAACATGGAATTTCTAGGAATGAGTAAAGGAAGTGCAGGGTGTAATCTCAGCGTTTCTTTTATCTCAGCTTGCAAGTATGGCAGATTATCCATGTCACTATCCTCAACCCTCCTGTCCACCCTGATAACTAGGTCCAGCTCTTCTTTCGCCTTTGTCATTGACTCAGGATTACGGAGCAGCTCCGCCATTGCCCATTTGATGGTGCTGCTTGTTGTTTCGGAGCTGGCAAAGAACATTTCCTACACAACAAAAATGTCCTCCATTACACAGAATTATACGTACATATTCAATAATGCACAATAATCTTCTTGTTGCAGATGCAGTTTTACCATTATGATTATGATAACATTCTGATTTGATATTGTTCCTTCACCTGTATGCTCCAGCAATGCATCTAACAAGTCCTTGTTTGTTTTGTCCTTGGGGAGCTTTAGCTCATCAATCCTCTCTTCAACAAAGCTGCTCACAATTTTCATGGCTCGACCCATCTCCCGAACCATGTTCCTCTTGATCCCCTGGGGATCCAACCATTTCAACACTGGTAGGAAATCGGACAAGTTCGACTTCCCGGCACATACCATCACCTCTTTCATGGCGTCAAAGAACTCTTTCCCTTCCTTTGATTGAGAACTCAAAAGATCTCTTGACAACACTAGGTTGCCAACAAGGTTAAACGACATGAGGAAAAAGAAGTGAGCCAAATTCACCTTACCTTCTTCTCCCCGTCCATGTGCTGCCGCTGCATCTTCCTCGATGTATCGAATCATGTCGTCGGTGCACTTTCGTCGTAGACGAGTCGTCTCATTGGTTGGTCGGTTCACTAAGAGCTCCTTTGAGCAAATACGGTGAAGCATGCGCCACGACTCGCCATATCTCCCGAACGCAAGCGATCCTAGACAGTAATCATGAGTAGTCAAGTCAACGGGATATTTACGATCGCAGAAATCATGGTCATGGTTCTTGAACAATTTGGAGGCTGCCATGGAGGATTGTATGACCACAGTTTTTACTGACCCAAGCTTCAAACCAAGCACCGGTCCCTACTTTGCCCTGAGCTCGGCCAGTGTCTGGTGAGGCAAAGTTCCAAGGTGGAAAAAGTTGACTAATATTGGCCACCCTGGGGTCCTGGTGGTTGCAGAGTTTTATAGGCGTGGCGATACAATCATAAGAGTTTGGTCACTGATTTAGTCACAATAAAAAAAAATAGTCAAAAACATTAAAATAAATATATGTTTTTTATCCAAAAAGAATAAATATGTATGATATTTGTTGAAGATACATATTTACACCAACATGAGTCACGCCTGATAACGACGACGACACACGTGTATTAACATTGTCTTCAATCATTTAATGAGTGCATATCTAAATAGTGTGATATTTGAGAAACACATAATCAAGCATACTGATTTTGAGTTGTTAAAGAAGAATCCTGAACTTGATTAGACTTATGTCGATATAATAGTCAATGACAATTTTTTATAATGGTATCCAGAGTATTTCATAAAAAAAAAACAGTTGACAGTTTAGGACCTAAATTTGATCAAGTTTAAGACATGTACTTGACAACTAAAAATCAACATGTTTAACAATGATTTTTCAAATCTCACATGGACTATACGTGAATCTTGTGTTTAAATATAACAATTTAAACATGCACTCATTGTACTTATTGAGTAATTAAAGACAATAAAAATACATTATACAATGATAATCCAGATAATAACTTTGCAGCAGAAAGAAATAGATGGAAAATATCTGCTGAACGTATGAAAGAAAAGTGATGAACAGTTTTGGGTGAATTTTGGTGGGAGTCGGAGTCGGAGTAGGAGTAGTAGTAGGTTATTATCAGATTATGCAGAAGTTGCTAAATAATGGTGAGTTGGATTGTTTGAGTAAAGGTTTCTTTTAATTTTATTAAATAAATTGTGTCGTATTTTGTTGCTATAATAATGTTTTGGTTAACTAGTAAGTTATCTTACTAAATTAATTTTTTTTATTAAGTTAAACTGATTATAAAGTAATATATGTTTTAAATGTTCTCAACCATTTGATAATGATTGTCCAATCATCCTTATAGTGATTGGTGCTCAAATCATAACCTCTAAGAATAACAACAATTCTTTCCATCACTAAGGTAAGTTGGTTCGTGGTTATTAAATTAAAACTTGATTAAAGTAGAACTCATTAAATGACCTAATAATATAAAAGAAAATATTATTTTTTCTAAGATATGGATTCAAACAGTCGATCTTCAACCGATTTTCGAGGCATATTCAACCTAGTTCCGAACTTCCGCAAGCCCTGCAATGTAAGTGCATGTGCAACTTTGTTGTCATTTCTGTTGGTATAGCTGAAGTCTTATCTTTCAAAATATCGAATATTTCAAAATCTATTTTAATTATTAATAATGTATATATATATATATCTGTAAATTTAATTCTTTGAATATAAATTTTATAGATATAATAATGTTTTCTTTTACTATTACTATTGAAGTCATTCAATTAAGTATTAAGAGTTGGATGAGTTGGAGCCACAGTTATGCTAGTCGGTGCATTTTGTAAATAAGCTTCATATTGAGTGACTTTAACAATAATGAAAGCCTATTTTCCATATTGAGTAACCCATCATAAATTACCCAATTTTCTGACCTCTCTATATTGAGTCACTCATTTTCATTTTGGTTTAATTCTCTTTTTAAGGATCTCAACTTTTTAATTAATTCATTTTAATCCTTGACTACACTAATAACCAATTATTTAACCAATTTATATTTTAACTAAAAATTATCAGATTATCAATAAAGAAAATAACTATTCAAAGGTAATGTAGTTTGAATAATAAAGTTTAATTAATAGCAAAAACAAATTTCAATTTTTAAACACTCAAATCTAAATAAATCTAGGTTATCAGATTTTGAGATGTTACAATGTCTTCTCCAGTAAGCTAAACACCATCAAAGTTTAGAGCTTGGGTTACTCCATGGAAAATTTCTATTTGTTGGAGGATTTTCAAGTTAGCTCATGATTTCTCCTAATCACAAAGATTTATTAAAATATTCAAAAACCAGCCAAGTGAGTATTATTTTGGGTTCATGGAAATTGATAATATATAATTTTCTTATTTTTAATATAATATTTAAATTATTGTGGGGGCACCATGCTTATATTCCCAGGAACTAGATCATAGCTGGGATGACGGTTCTGGATCGTTTACCAACTAAAAACAGGCTTATTGCGTTTGGGTTGCAGGTCGATGGCTTGTGCGTCCTCTGTAGACGTGTGATGGAGTTCTGTGACCAATTGTTTTTTCAATTCGACTTCTCTAAAAAGGTTTGGGAGGAGATTTTGCGCTTGTTCCATTTGAACAGGATGGTTATGTGCTGGGATTCGAAATTTACGTGGGCTCCTAGGTTGCGAGGTAAGTCCTTGTTATCTCTTGTGATGAAGCTGGCCTGGAATAGTGCTATCTCTTTGATTTGGAGGGAACATAATTGGAGAATTTTTCGAAATGTTGACTCTACTATTTCGAATATTGTAGCTAGAATTAAGGAGACTGTCAGGTTAAGACTAGCTGGTAGGAAAGTCAGCAAATTGGGAGATGGCTATAGTCAAATTTGTTATAGCTGGAACCTTGAGGATTAGTTTTGTTTCCTGAGGTTCCTGTTATTTGTATTGCATTCGATTATGACAAGAATGATTAACTCGGATCAAGAGCTTATTCTTCGGTTTCAAGGTTTTACGAAGCATCAGAATTAGTAAATAAATATAAACTCAAAGGATTCTCAAGAAAGTAAATATGTTCTTGTTTTAGTCGGGGGGGGGGGGGGGGAATGCATTCGGGTCATTTGCTTCTGGAGGAGCCAATCAGGATGGTCTCAATCCTGGAGTCATCTAAGGCTGTAAGTTTCACTTTCGTTTTTAAGTCAATCTATTTTGGGTTTTGGTTTTCTTAGGGAACCTGATCGGATCCTAGTAGATTTGGAAACCGATTCGTTTGTTGTCTTCTTTTCAGAGTTTTTTTTTCCGGCAACGAAGAAGATAGTGGGAACTTTAGGTCCAAAGTCTCGATCCATTGAGGTTATTTCTGGTTGTCTCAAAGCTGGAATGTCTGGTACTGTTTTTTCTGCCACATTGTGTGTTTAGTTATTACTGTGTTATTGGAAGTAATATTTATTTTGTTTATTTGTTTTTTTAGTGGCTAGGTTCGATTTCTCGTGGCATGACACGAAGTATCATCAGGAAACTTTAGAAAATTTAAAGGCGGCCGTTAAGCTAACTAAAAAGCTTTGTGCAGTTCGTTCTTTGTATTTTGGTTGATTTTTGTTAGTTCTGTAACTTGTGTTTCTTTCCTAGAGAAATGGTACATCTTAATATAACCTATGTGGTCAGGGAAAAAAAACAGAAAACTTTCTCTTTTAAGTGGTTTTTGATGTTATATTAGGACATTTTTTATCACTTTTGCTGTAAATTCTTAAAGGGAGTTGACTGTCCTTGAATTTTGAGTATGGCAAACAATGGATAATTGTTTGTATTTGGTTTGATGGAGATGGTGGCATTTTAGAACATACAGTGATTTGTATTTGGTTTTTTTCCCTACCGGGTTATGTTGGATACAGTGGGCCCTGAGTTGCAAGTTGTAAATAAAAGCGAAAAAGCAATTTCACTTGAGGCTGATGCTACTGTTATTTTGACACCGGATGAAGGACAAGAGGCATCTTCAAACTTATTGCCAATCAATTTTGATGGACTGTCAAAGGTCTAATGCTAATCCCCTACCTCTCATTGCACTGTGTATCCAATTTGGTGTTTGGCTGTGAGAAGTATCTATGAGCCCTGTTTAAAACACAATCTGTTTTAGACTTCATGGCTGATGGCTCTATGAACAGCTTTTCATTAAATAGGAGTTGGGAGGTTTGTATTGGCTAGTGTAATGCTTATGGATTCATGATACGGATGATTTAGTATCATTTATATTGTATTTATCTCACAATAGTTCATATTTGTGGTGGTTTCCCTTTTGTCCATGCAATCGACTGACAAGTCTATCAATCTGGATTTTAAGGGAGACACTATTTTTATTGGTCAGTACCTGTTTACTGGGAGTGAAACCACATCCGTATGGCTGGAGGTAAGGAAAGAGGAACTACTGATACGACTATTTGTGGAGTGGTTAATTAGGGAATCTGAACTTTACAATCAGAATTCCTATACGTTTTCAATTGCCTAAACTGTGAATTGACTTGTGCAGGTTAGTGAGGTACAAGGAAATGATGTGGTTTGTGTGATAAAGAATACTTCAACATTAACTGGTCCATTGTTCACTTTGCACGCCTCTCAAATTTGTATTGAGTTGTCTACTCTTTCTGATAAAGACAAGGAGGTAAGAATATTATTCCCATTTAACAAGTGACAGAAAGCGATTTCTCTCGTTGTAAGTTGTTACATTGATAATTTCCACATAGTTCCTTTTCTGACCTCATGATACCTGCTTCAGGTTATAAGTTCTTGGGGAGTTCAAAACAAAATCAATTTCCTCTCTGTCATACACACGACATGCGGAAGATGTTCGTCATGTAAGTATCACTTTTGCATATCATTGTGGTATTTTGAAGTTTTAACAGTTCTCTGATTGCTCTTGGTATGCCCTTTGTAGGCTCGTGAGTTCCTTTCAAAGCTGGGTGAACTCTCTCAGGCACAAATTTTTGCTAAGATTGAAAATATAGAGGTGCATTATATGTTATGTTATTGTGAATGATGAATATGTGGGTTTTGGTTACCGTAGTTGTGAATAAGAATGTCACTTTCTTTTATATTTTCAGGGTTTAAACCATTTTGATGAGATCCTACAAGAAGCAGAAGGTATAATCCTTTCTTGTGGAAATTTGGGCATTGGTCTCCCTCCTGAGATTTGAGAAGGTCAGTTCCTTTTACTTGAACCAGCAGTAATTTGCTACTCTTGAAGTTTTTGCCATAAAGTATGCAAGTCTTCTATTTAAAATACCAGAGATCCAATCTGAAAAGGGGATATTATGTAGTAGTTTTTTCTGCAAAATGTTTTTGTTGAATAGATCTTATAGTCTGTTCTAGCATGTATAACTATACTTTGTAAATGCTTTTTAGCAGCCTTGGATTGTTGCTCCTAGTTTTAAATGTCTTTAATTTGTCGGAGCGTGCTGCTAACCAACTTCATTTTTCCTTGCAGGTTTTCTTATTTCAAAAGTTTGCCCTTTTTAACAGTATGACTGACAACTTGTAACAAATTCTTTCGACCTAGTTTTTAAATGATCCATTTTCTTTGCTTCAGGAAGTGATGTTATCTCTTAGGATTTGATGAAGCTCATTGATCAACCGAATAATTTGCCAAGAGGAGGTGAATTGACTTTTTGAGGTTAGGGAGTAAGGAGTATAAAGATGAAACAATTTGCACAAAGATTTATAGTGGTTCGACTTCTCAATCAAGTCTACATCCATTACCTAAGCTCATCACTTAGGATTTTCTAATAAATTCACTAATTTGTTCTTTTTTTTCCAATACAAAGAGATAACATTTACAATTTTCTAGTTTTTTAAAAGTTAAGCTAGAATCAATTCCCTTTACAAAATGAATAAATGATGTAAACAAGAAAACCTCTTAAAGGAAGGTGTTTACAAAAATTAAGCTCACTAAAACACTAATATTTACAAGAGAAAGAAAAATAAGAATGAAAAGTTATTCTCTTGTGTTTGATTGCTTGGATAGGTGTTTTCCAACCTTCTTCAAATGTCCTCAACATATTTTTTATATGTTTGAATGAGTTTGTGGTAATTTTTGGCCGTTGGGAATGTTTTGAAGTCGTGGAGAATTAATTTTCTTCAAAATAAAACTGCTTAGTACATGGAGTATTGATACTCCTATAATGAGTATTGATACTCCTATAATGAGTATCGATATTATATTTGTAATATTTAAATAAACTAGTCGTTGAAGATCGTTGGGCTTGACCAATATCGATATTATGCTTCATGGTATCGATATCACTGTGTAAAGAATTATCGATACCCCTTGAGTATCGGTACATATTTTGCATTCTGGAATTTGAGCAATTTGAAAAACAACTGGTAGTATCGATACTACCTAGAAAGTATCGATATATCTCTTACATTTGGTATCGGTACCTCATGAACAATATCAGTATTGTTCATATAGTATCGATACTGTAAGAACAGTATTGATATTACATACCCAGAAAATTGCTTTGTGCTCAAATTCTAGTTTAATAGACTTTAATTTTTTTTGAAAACTTTGAACAAATTCAATCAAATCCAAAAATATTTTGTCTTAATTTGTTATATTAAAATATTATAAAATATGGTTCAACAATCTCCTCTTTTTAATATAACAAAACATTTGAAAAAAAAATTTTGGCAAAATTCTCCCTTAATAAAATATTTCATGAAAAAGATAAATATTTGGAAAATATTAAAATTCTCTATTTTTCATTGAGAAATTGAATTTTTCAAACTTATATTTCTCTCCCTTTTTATTATATAAAAATAATTCAAATTTAATGGTTCAAAACAACAATGGAGAGAAAGTAAAAATTTTAGTATAAAATCATTTGAAAAATCAAAGATTCCCCTCAATAAAAAAAATTTCAAACAAAAATTTGATTTTAAAAGTATCACATGAAATTCAGTATATCCAAGTCTAATATACTTTATGTCAGGGTTTTAAATAGCATTTGCGGTCACGTTTTCGGTCGCGTTTATCTCGGTTGTGAATACAATGGATGCTATTTTGGTCATTGCGAATATCGCGATCGTGAATTTTTTCGAATGAGCTGGTTTTTTTAATAAAAAAACCTATTTTTTAAATTAAATAACATAATAATAGTGGAATAGTGGTCTGCTATTGCCGCGATTGGCCGTGATCCGTTAAATTGCGATCGCGATCAGCCGCTATTGGTATGATCCCTCTTCACATCGTTATTTTTCGCGTTAATGGTTTCGAAATCGCCGCAACCGCGATATTACGGCCGCGATACCGCTATTTAGTCGCTGTTTAAAACCCTGTTTTATGTAATAAGAATTGTTGTATTTAAGTATATGTGCATAAAATTATCCAAAAATGTTATGCATTTGAAAAAAAATTGATATTAATTATTAGAGATATATAATTTGCAATAAATTACATGCATAAACATTTAAATTAAGGTCAAAAATTAAAATTTGTAAAAAAAAAGAAAGCATTAAAATCAATTTTGATCAAAATTCATTATGATGAACAGACATTTATAGAAAATTATTAAAACTTTAGAAAATGTTCATCACAATATTTTTTTAAACATACTAGATATAGAAAACCTTAAATTATTTAAAATCAAAACGTATGCATGCTTAAACTAAATGAACAACCAATTATGCATGATAATCAAAATAAGCATAGAGGTTACTTATTTCATATCAAGTATGGCTAGAGCATTTGAATATCTTCACTTTCATCTACATTTCTCTCACACACCTACAAGAGACATTTATGTGGATTTTGGTATCCAAATTGCTTTGGATCCTTGAACGTTAGTTTCAATGCCCCTTGTTTACTTAGGAACACATACTTGTCTAATTTTAAAATGTTTTCCTTTCTTTAAAAGACAAGCATGTTT